GACTTGAAAGAAACCAGGAGAACTAAGTGGCAGAGATGGGGAGGAAGGGAATTCCATGCATGGAGAACAGTCAATGAAAATGTCTAGAGTCAGGAGATGAGCCTATTGCTCTAAGCCAATGTCACTGCACCAAGGATCACTGGATACGTGGAGGAGGGGCAGAGTTTAATGTAAGAAAACTGTAAAAATGTGTGTGGATAAGTTATGAAGGGCTTTGAATGCCTGAGGATTTTATATTTTATCTTAGAGTTGATAAGAGCCGCTGGAGTCTGTTGAATGCTTTCAGAAGATAATTATGACAGCTGAGTGGATAACAGACTAGAGTAGGGGGAGACTTGTGGCAGGGAGATTGACCAGCAGGCTATTACAATAGTCTTGGATTGAGGTGATGAGGGCCTGCACTGGAGTGGCAGTAATATCAGAGGAGAGAAGGGGGTTTATGGGAGAGATGCTATGAAGAGATTGGATGGGGGTGGGGGCATGTGGGTGGGAGTGGGTAAGATTGAGGAGTCAAGAACAACACCTAGATTACAAGCCTAGGTGACTAGGAGGGGGAGGATGGACAATAATAGAGAAATTTGGAAGGGGAGGATTTTAGGGAAAAGATAAGTTTGCTTTTGGACACGTCGAATTTAAGATGTCTACAGGACATCCAGTTTGAGATGTCCAATAGACAGTTGGAGATATGAGACTGGAGGTTAGCAAAGAGGCTAGGACTGAATAAGTAGATATGAGAATCATCAACATAGAGATGATAAATGAATCCATGGGAGCTGATGAGCTCACTACAAGAAAAAAGGTAGAAGGAGAAGAGAAGAGAAGAGAAGAGAAGAGAAGAGAAGAGAAGAGAAGAGAAGAGGAGAGGAGAGGAGAGGAGAGGAGAGGAGAGGAGAGGAGAGGAGAGGAGAGGAGAGGAGAGGAGAGGAGAGGAGAGGAGAGGAGAGGAGAGGAGAGGAGAGGAGAGGAGAGGAGAGGAGAGGAGAGGAGAGGAGAGGAGAGGAGAGGAGAGGAGAGGAGAGGAGAGGAGAGGAGAGGAGAGGAGAGAAGAGAAGAGATCCCAAAACACAGCTCTGTGGGACACTCATGGTTAGTGGGCTTGACCTAGGTGAGGATCCATCAAAAGAGACTGAGGATACACATAGGTTAGGAAAACTGGAAAACAGTCTGGCAAAAATTAGGCATGTACCAATATCTCAAACCATATACTAAGACAAGCTCCAAATAGATACATGATCTAGACATAGAGGGTGACATTATAAACAATTTGGAGGAACATGGAAGAAATTACCTGTCAGATCTATGAATAGGGGAAGAGTTTATGACCAAATAAGAGACAGAGAAGGTAGTATGGGACAAAATGGACTATTCTAATTGCATAAAATAATTTTTTAAATGCACTAACAAAAGCAATGAAGCTAAAATTAGAAGAGAAGCAGGAAACTGGGGGTAATGTTTGCAGGAAGTTTCTCCAATAAAGTTTAATTTCTAACATATATAAAGAACTGGCTCAAATTTATGAGAATACAAGATCCATTTCCCAATTGATGAATGGTCAAAGAACATGATGAAGCAGTTTTAAAAGGAAGAATGCAAGCTATCAATAGCCATATGAAAAAATGCTCTAAATCACTAAATAGAGAAATGCACATTAAAATACCTCAATTCCATCACCAAAGTTGACAAAAAAGGAAAAATGATAAATGCTGAAAGGGCTATGAGAAAATAGCTACATTAATACACTGTTGGTGTAGCTATGAACTGATCCAGACATTCTGGAAAGCAGTTTGAAATTATACTAAAAAGCTTTTGAATGGCATACCTTTTGACTTAGTGATAGCACTGCTAGGTCCATACTCTAAAGATATCAAAGAAAGAGGAAAACAACCCACAAGAACAAAAATACTTATAACAGCTTCTTATGTGGTGGACCAATGGAAACTGGAGGGAGTATTTATTAGGGAATGGTTGGACAAGTTGTAGTATGTGAATGTGATGGAATACTATTATGCCATAAGAAATTATGAGTGGGATGGTTTCAGAAAAACCTGGGAAGACTAATAGGAACTGATGCAAAGTGAAGTGAACAGGACCAGGTGAGCAGAATCAGACACCGAATTTATACAATTACACTGGCATCGTAAGGACAAACAATGTTCCAAAACTTGGTCATTCTGATTCACACAGTGATCAGCCACAGAAATGTGCTGTCCACCTTTAAAGAGAGAACAGATGGACCCAGAGAACAGACTGAGGAACCTTTTTTTGACCTGGCTAGTGTAGAAATTTGTTTTGCTACACATGTTTTTAACAGGTTGATTTTTCTTGCTTTCTCAACGTGAGATGCAGGGAGGTAGAAGAAAGGAAATTCAGAAGCAAAAAAAATTGAATTTTTAAAAACTACCCCTGTTACCTTGGGCAAGTCTTTTCCTTCCCCCAGGTGTGTTTTCTGTCCTGTAAAAAGATGTAGTTAAACTAGACGACGTCCAAAATCCCTTCCAGTTCAAGATCTGAGATGACAAACCAATTAATTAAAAGAACAATATAGACCGCCATGATGATGTCACTAAAAGGAGCACTAGAGGAATTCAGACTCCGAAGAAGTCTCGTGCCAATCTTGATCCCAGAGGACACACCATGAAACCCACCTCTCACCTTTTAGCAGGGAGGTGACCTGGGCACTCTAGCGGCACAACGTTACTTACCTTGTTGCAAGGTTCACTGGATTCGTTGTTGTTGTTTGCTTAATTCCCTTTGTTGCAAAGGAAGGTTTAATCTTTGTGGGAATGGGGTTAGTGGTGGCAGTGCTGGATTCAGAAATGATTGTGATAAAGGCATCGACAAAATTTAGTAAAAGAAAAACACTTGCCCAAGTACAAGGTGGAGGCAGACCTGTCTGCCAAGCTTAGCAGTCATTCATGTGAAAACAGCATTCTAGATTTTAATGTCCCAATATCATTCTAAAAATGGATTTTTTATTGATCCCTTTGGTTTTTGCATCAACTACATTTTCCCAAATATGCTTAGCAGCAGAATTTTTGGGTCAAAGGGCATGGATATTTTGGCCCCTTTATTTATGTAATTCCAAATGACTTTCTCAAATGGTTGCACTAATTCAGAGTTCCAGCAACAATGCATTAGTCAATGCACCAATGTCTTGATATGGGTTAGGAAAAACTTGCCAGCACTGGGAGCTATCCATTTTATGCTGTCATGCTATACAGGGATCTTTCCTTCAAATGTTGGCCTTCAAAGCCTCAAAGATTCCCTTCCAGCTGTGAAGTTTCATGCCCTGTGTGCTGAAGTTGTAGGGACTGGGACATACTCAACCTCCTTCTTTGGAAAGGAGTAAGGAATTGAAGGCAAAAACTGCTGATCTCAAGAGCCTTGGCTGCACCAACAGGAGTGCTGAGGAGGAACATCTCCATTTTCATTTTCTCCTCTCTTCTTTCCCAAATTCTGATTCATAAACACCCCTTAAGTGGAAGCTCTGTTTATGTGGTAGGCAAGTCTTTGAAACAAAAATAAGCCCAATTTTGGCATGAGGAATCTTCCCCAGAAGCAGCAGTGTTGAACCCCCTTCTTTATTCCCTCCCTCACCCCAACAACCCAGCTATACCCACAAGTAGTCCACTGGTACTCAAGTCAGAAGGAGTTCCCCCAAGCGTCACAGACCCTGAGAGCCACCAGCAGGGGTAAATAATGTGGGTGAGGGCTTTCCACTGAGCTAAGACAGAAAGGGAAAAGGAGACAAAGGAAGGCAGAAAAGGCAAAGGAACTGGCAACGGTTAACCCAAGAGTGAGAAGACCTGGCAGGGGCATGGGGCTAAGAATCCCAGATAAATGGGGATAATAACAGCACCTACCTTATACCATTGTTAAAGATCAAATAAGTTACTTGTGGGAGAAGGACTGGGCTTTGCCTTCCTTGACCCTAGAAGCCAAAACATGGAGAGAGGGAAGAACTCTGTGGAAAGAGCAGCAGACCTTGCTGAGGACCTGGGCCTGCCACTTAGTATTTGTGACCTTCTCAAGTCACATGTCTTTGGGCCTCAATTTTCCATTGGATTGAATGACTTTCAAGGTCTAAATTTACCATCCTATGGCCTTGGAAAAATGAGTGGAAATCAGAGAGGCAGACTCAGCTAGATGTGAGGCAAACTTTCCTGGTGATTGGACTTGTCCACAAGCTGCTCTTGGAAATAATTTAAGTCTCATTAGTACAGGTCCTCGTGTGGACGCTGGGTGATCATTCTTGTTAGAGATGTTATAATTGCTGGTTGAGCTTCATGACTTCTGAAGTCCCTTCTACTTCCTGAGATTGTATGAGAAGGGAGATGAGAAAAAGGGCAGACAGGAGGGGCCCCTTATTTTACTATTCTTCTTCCCACCCCCCACCCCACTGAGGTAGTGCAGGATAGTAGTCAGTGAAGATTGAGTTTGAATCTGGACCACCTCTGCTTCATACCTGTGGGCCTTTGAGCCAGGTGGTCCCATAACCGAGTGCTGGCTTGCTCTAAGTGACAAAGACCTTAGGGTCAATTTCCATTTTGTGATGACAACTGTATTCAAGCACATGGCTCTTGGCACATAAGCATGTAAGAAATGATTATTCATTCATTTATGTATGAAGGGCTGTCACATGGAACATGGATTAGACACGTTCGATTTGGCACCAGAGGGTGGAACCAGGGACAAGAGGAAGGTGCATAGAGACCAGTTTCAGTGGGATGTCAGGAAAAACTTCATAATGATGAGAGTTGTCCCAAACTGCAATGGGGCTGCCTGGGGAGGGGGTAGCTTTCCCCTCCTTGGGGTTCTTCCAGCTAAGGCCATTTGTCTGTGTACTGTGTGGAGTAGGACTCCTTTTAGGGGTATGGGATTTACTAGCTTAGTGTTGAGGTCCCTTCCTCAAATTTTATGCTAGGCTGTCGGAGATGGCACAGTATCACTTGTCCTGCCTAGAACCTGGCAGGAAGCCATAAAAACACACAGAATTTGAGTGCAAAAAATAAATATAAAATTTATTAAAACACCCACAATATTTTAAAGATATCAGGAGTAATACAGTTCACAAACCAGCTGTTTGTGTAAATCATAATAAAATACAAATCAAAAAAAAAAAAGGATTCATACTTGCAATATTTAGGCACCTGAAAATAAATTTACTGAAACACTGAGGGGAAGGGAGGACAGGAGGTGGCTTTTATAGAAAGGGAGGTAGGAGAGAACAGGGTCAGGTAGGGGATAAACAAAAAAAAAAGGGCAGGGGAAGGAAAAATATTAACCAAAAAAAAGATAATTATACAAAATAAAATTATCAGCATAAATTTACTGTACTAATAATATCTACAGTTTAATAATACACATCCTATTGCCTTGAGACATTGCAAACTCTACCATTCATCAACCAACCCCAGATAAACTTCATTTCAAGTAACCACGGTCACAGAGTCTAGACGGAATCTTCAAGTATGGCTGGGAAGTTCACCTCCATAGGAAGCCAGGTAACCAAACAGGAATTCAAAGAGAGAGAAAATGAGATTCACTGACAAGCTACAGCTCAAGACCACTTTACCGCATCACTCTGCCACAGTCCAACCTGCTCTCACTTCTTTTTTATTCAAAGTCATGAAAAAGAAACGGCATTAGCACCTCTCATCCCCAAAGGGGAGAAAAACAGAGGCATTCAAGAAGACGAAATTAAAAAGAAAAGTTTGGAAAGCAGAAACCAATGAAATAATATTTCTGTCCTTTTCTTTTATAGATTTCCATGTGAAGAATGGTGAGTTATCCCTGAATGATGCTAGAATGAGAAAAAATGGCCAAAAAAAAATTAAAACCACTATTTAAAAGTATCCCTGATATTAGAAGAGAAAGAAATGAGAAAGTGGGCCAAATTGTTCCCAGATTCTTAGGCAAAGAACATTGAAAAACCTGGGCTTTCTGTTGGATAATCTTTGCTTAAGGGGAAAGAAATGCCCATTATTTGGACTTTACTGTTCCTTCTACCTGTGGAAACTCTTGGTTGGGGGGTGGAAGGGAGGAGGAACCTAAAATCTGGGGGCCTGGAGTATTTTCTATCTATTACCACATAGCTAACCCCCCTCTTTGCCCCCCACCTTCCAATTGAAAATCCATTCCCTTTTTTCAATTTGTGCAGCGATTAGTTTCCTCCAAAAAACCTGTCTTTTTGAGGGGGCCACAGAATGATGCAACAGTGGCTGTTGATTCCAGCTGAGTGGGACTGGTCTCAAGGTTCCATTCCAAATGCCGAAAAATGACCAGTCAGGAAAGCTCATAGGAAGTCTGGGAGCCTGAGGAAATTGCTCCTAATTAGGTGTTTGAAAATACACTGCCTAAGAATAATACAAAAAAGGCCCCTCCCATACTCTCCCCAATGAGTACAGTGTCATATGAACAAAATGCATTTCCTAGTGTGGAGACACTTCTTTCAGATTCTAGCCACCTCCACCCTCACAATAGTCTAGCTTTTGAGGTATGTTTCTTAGGTATCGTGACGATAGCAGTGCCAATGCAAAGCCTAGCTTTCTGGTCGGTTTCAAAATGTCAACTCCCTAGAACCCAAGAGAAAATCAAAGTAGCACCAACATATGACAAAGGAGTTGAAAAGCAGCCAGAACCGCCATCCTCTCTCTTCCCAAATGCTGACCTAAAGGAAACACCATGATTAGCCAAAGTGGACCACTCATCGCCGTCAAGGGTAGGCACCTACTTCAATGTAAAATGTTATTTTTAGGTAGAAGCAACCACGGGCCCAAAGGAGCAGAGTAGGGTGTGGGGGCAAGAGTGGGAAGAGCAACTTAATATTTCTTCCTGCCTTTCAACTGCGAACTGAGCTCCTGGAAGGAAGGGAAGGTGTTCCCATTTGGTTTACACCTTCCCCAAGCAAACTCCCCCCTTCCCCCAGGCCTCCCTGAGAAATTTACCTTTACAAGTGGGAGGGGTGCCTGATGAAGAGAAAGGGGCTAAGAATGACTGCTGAGCTCAAGGAAGAGAAGGAAGAGTTCTCTATCTTTCTCTTCCCAAAGTTAGCGCTCTCCACCTTCTCTTGTAACTAGCCCATGGGATGACTGGTTTAGAACCCAGAGACTAAATGTAAGACTCCAGGTGGGCCAGCCCTTCCTGAACTAAGTATGTTTCCATCAACAGCAAGGGAAGTAAGGGCAGAGCTTGGCTCCCACTTCACACTGAAGGGAGGGAAACAGCAATTTGACTATGCAGTCCAGATTCATTGCCAAAGCAGAGGTCCCAGGAGATAGCACCACAAGGAAAAGAAAGCCAACGGGCAGGGAGGCCCCCTCGTTTTTCGTTTGGTATGTGGTTTGAGATAGGTTACATAGCACCTCAGCAAAACCGGATAGGGAGACAATTATGTTAAAACACCATAGCACCATTTTATTTAGAATATTTCAATTCATAAAAATATGCTTCCTAGTCCATAGAGCATACTTCAGTAATAAAAGGGGAGATATTGGTTGAGGCACATCAGGGATCTATGTGTGTGTGTGTATGTATATTTAGTTTTCCTTCTGCAATGCCTTAGTTTGGGGATACGGTGGTGGTGATGAACTTGAAAAAGAAAATCTTGCTGGATGAATTTCTCTCAGTGAACTGTGTTTACCCTCCTCTGATCTCTGCACACCCTCCTCTGCTTGGTATAATACATGCAGTGCAATTAAGATTTGGTCCTTTTGGGGGGGGGGAATCTTCCAGTTGTGGGACTCTCTGATCCCATAACACACAGGGATGGCCACAAAGAGGGCCCTTTTGATAGTGGGAACATGTCTATTCACCCCCACCACTGTAGTCTCAGGAAGAAGGCAAAGCAGTAGAGGGGAAACGAGAATCTAGGAACCTCGGGTTCTGCAGAAAGGAGAAAAAAAAATGAAAAACAAACCCCACAAAACAGCTTAATTCAAATGTCCAATGGTCAGACGGTGGTTCGAGGCTCTAGCACCAATTATATGATAACCTGCTGCAAACAGTGATCCCTCTCCACACCACCCCCACCCCCAAACCTGAAGCACAGTTTTGGGCAAGTCTTTCCTTTGACAGTTGAACCTCAACTCTTCATTGAGTACAGATGGCATTTGGAGCCAAAACAAAGGGGAAAGATCCAAGGATAAAAGGCCATGAATCTCGTGTCACTCTATTAGGTGAACTTTGAGCAAAACTGGGTCATGCTGTTAAGGTTCTTCAGATGCAATGGCTTTCATTTTTCTTTCTCATGATCAAGATATCTGTTAATCATCTTCAGAGCTTACAAAAATGATGGCGCCAGTAAAAAATAAAAAAAAATTGATTTTTCTCTTTAAGAAACCTTCAGCAGCAAAGGTGGGGTAAATAGCTGTGCATAGTTTTTTTTTTCTTTTTAATATAAGTCTAAAGCATGCTAATTTTTAATGACTGAGATTTGAGGTAGGTTATATATGTAGTGTGTAAAAAACAGCATGGTTTTGAACATTGCAAAAGTACTATCATTTCCATCAAAACACCGTTTTATCTGGGATGGAGCCATCCAATGGAGGCTGCCCCTTTTTCTCTTTTCTGAACAGCCTGTGTTCTAGTCTAAAAGTTAAGAAAGCAAAGGTTGTTTGGACTGGGGGGCTGGGATAGAAAAGACACATGCAGTTAGCTGGATTAACTTCTCCTTTTGGATACCATTCTCTTTGTGACTTTGCCACCAGGTTGGTGAGACCAAAGAAGAAGTAACATCAGGAAGAGTAAGTCACATATGCCATTTATCAGAATCCCCTGGATTATACTGGAAATACTTTCCAAACCCATCCCAGCAGCCACCCCACCCACCTGGGATGTCTAAAGGTCAAATAGAAGGTCACATTCTCAAAGCGTTCCTTAAAAATAGTCAACTCGCTCTCAGAGAGATTTTAAAATGAAGTTTTCAAGGCACCCCTGCGTCTGTCTACCTAAGTCCAGAGTTGAATGAGACCTGCATACACAGCAAAGCAAGCTAGCATCCAAAGGACTGCTCTGCCCCAACTGGTTCCTCAAAATTCGAAAATTAGCATGCTCAGCGTCGGCCAATCCTTTTAAAGGCTTTTGTCACGTTGCACCGGGGAGTGCCAAGGATTTCCTATAAATCTGAGTCTGGAACCATCCTCAATCCTGATAGGCTCTTGGGTATTGATTTCAAAAGCACTCATTCTTATCCTGTAAAAAGAATTGTTACGGATTATGGTTTCTTTAAAAAAAAAAAGGTGGACAAAAAGCACGTTAAATACACAGCTACTATTTACAGGTCTCCCATTATCATCTGTTAAAACATACTGCTTTTTTTTCAAGTTGCTATTTAAATCTAGGTGAAAGTGCTTTAAAAAAAATCTTTCACTATTTACAGTTAAAATCAGACCACGCCAATGCTCCCTCAGGACGTCTCACAGAGGTTCTCTGCCAGTGCTCCAGGAACATTTCAGTAAACAAAGGATTGGATTCAGTTCTCAGCTCTCGGGGAAAGGCACCTAGAAGTGCGGGAAGTGGACTGTCGAATCCATCTGGTTTTGTCCGGATTGGGAACAGACTGTCACCCACTGCCAGCTGCGGCCGCTCTGAAAAAGGACTTGACTGAATTCTCTTAGGGCTCAGTTTTGGTTCACCCGTGGGGAGAGGCCAGGTCCACAGGTGGGGTGATGTAAGGAGGCAGCGGTGGCAGCCAGGAGGGGGGCATCCCTGCCCCGCCCACCTGTGCCTGCCCGAATGGGGGGGCCCGGGAGGGGGAGCTAGCTAGCGCCAGGCAAGTTTAGCTAATACCACAGAAATTCACACCCCCTCCCCCAGGAGTCTGGTTTGTTACAGATCAATTGCTTGTTGACCTATGGGTCCCAACCACTTTTTTCAGGCTCTCAGAACAAAGTTGCAAAAAAAGTAAGCACCTATTGTTTCAACTGAACAATTGAAACTTCTGGTTTCAATGAGCTGTTTGAATGCACCAGTTTTAAAAGGGAAAACTGAAGGATTTTTTTTCTTCTTTCCTTGAGGGGGGAGGGGCGGACAAGAAATAAAGGAAGAGGAAGAAGAGAGGACAAGGAAGGAGGAGGGAGAGGGGGAGATGGCACCAGCTGGAAAAGAAACCTCAAAGTAGCAACCAGTTGAATTTGCATCTGTAAGGAATGACCCTTTTCCACCTCCCAGGCCCCAGGGCCAGAGTGGGGCAGGTGGTTCAAGGATGCCGCGTGCACCATGGTCCAAAGTAAAAATCCAGGAAATGAGGATCTCCAAGTTGCTTTTTGTTATTCCGGTTTGCCCAGCTCTCTCGGACTGGAGAGTCAAAAGCAAAATCCTAGACAGCACCAGACTTTGCAACAGTGATATACACGGAGCAACTATTCACAGTTTGTTTGCCTTTTTTTTAAAGATACAGTAGCCCTTTTTCCATATTAGCATAGATCATGAGGGGTGGGGGTTCTTATTGGTTGGATTTTTTAAAACTGCTGTTAAGATTTAGATTCCTTCAGCCCCCAAGTATCATGTCAAGTAGCTGCACACTGCAGCTGAAGTGGCTGATTTAAGGAAGCATCCTTTCTCCACCGCAACTGCAACTCTGGCATCGAGTGCTACCTGGTGACCGAGGACAAAACGTGATTTGCTAAATAACGGACAAAGAAGATTCAGTGTGGAGACTAGCAGGCCTGAAACGTGTCTACCTCCAGCCTGGTTTCTGAAGAAGCCGACCCCAGTATCCGTCAGGTGGCTCAGGTGTGTGGCGCGTTTGCTGCCGATGTGAGGGCAGGGGATGAAGAAAGCCCCGGCGGAGTGGCTCTGGCAGATTTCCCAACCGCCCCTGATGGAACACCCGTCCTGCCCCAATGGGCTTGCTTCCCACAAAGTGATAAGAAGTGTGTATCTGCCAGAAGGAAAGGAAGTGGTGCTTGGACATCTGCACTTGCTTTGAGAGACACAGCCAAGTGGTCTGTCAGCTCTGGGGGGGGGCCTGAGCGGGTGGTGTGAAGGACCCACTCCCGCAAAGACCTTCTGATGGGAACAGAAGCTGTCTGGAATTCTGGCTTTTCTTGCCGGCTAGGTGACTGTCATCATTGTTCCTTTTTTTTTTTAATCCAATAAATACACATTTTAAATGGCAATTAAAAACCACTCCTTTGTGAAAGGATGCTATAAACTCTTCTTCCATTCTTGTCATACACAAGGACGGATTCTTAAAAAATAAAACCAAAGTCCCCGACCAAGGGAAAAAACCCAATGTGGAGATCTAAATACGAAGATTACTGAAAAACTTCCAGCAGCCACAGGCTCTTCCTCAAAGTGCCGGGGGAGGAGAGGAAAGAAGGGGGAGCTCTGGTGAGGTCTGTGCTGGAGCAGAGCTCTCCGTACATATACGCAGGTGTGGTAGCTCCATATACATACAGCAGTACTTCTGCCCAGCCTGGCTCTCCAGCCCAGGTGGCGAGGGGAAAGCACCACAACGGTGGCCCTGGGCTTTGGCGCCTTGCATGCTGAGGTAAGATGGCTCCCCCATGCTTTAGACCCAGCGGCTGTAGGGCCCTGTCACCTTAGTATAGGCATAGGAGGAGACCGTGACCACCGAGTCGGTGGTGATGGCTGGCACGTGGCGGGTGGGGATCGGGTTTTTCCTTTCCTCCTGCTGGGGTTCTGGGGCGGCTGTCCCTCCCCACTTGCGCTTCTTCCCAAAGGGCTTGACTTCCGGATGGCTCAGGCCCAGCCGCGCCGCCTCCTCCCTGGCCCGGGCCCTCTCGGCCAGCTGCTTCATCTTTGCCTCCCAGAGGGCCAGGCCATGGTTGGGCTGGTTGAGATTCTTGTGCTGGTAGAACACCAGCGAGATGCGGGTAGGGTGGTATCGGTTGGGCTTCTTAAGGGGGGTGGTGGCGTGCAGTTCACGCCGGGCACACTCGATCAGGATGGACCCGTGGGTGGGGGCCACAGCCACACCGCCGATGTTTTCATCTAGGAAGTTGTGCTCGCTGTCAGACCACAATTCCTCATCTTCCTCCTCTACGTTGTTGCCGACATTACCGCCGCTGCCACCCCCACTGCCGCCCACCTCTTCTTCCTTCACTGCCCCCTTGTCCGAGGGCCCCTCTGCTGGCACCTCCCCAAGGTTCAAGGAGTCCCATAGCTTTTCCTCAGGCTTTAGGGTCCCAGAACCTAGGGACATGCCAAAAGAGGGCCAGGCTTTGTCAGGCAGGCTGGGCCCTGCCGGGGTTGGAGTCCTTCCTTCGTCCCCTTTCACAGACCCCCACAGCTTTTCCGGGTAGCTTGTACCTCCTTTGAGAGCAGGGCTGAAGTCTGCTCCCACACTCCATGGCTTCTCTGCCAGACTGGGCCCATTTAAGGTGGCAGTACTGTCTCGAAACTTGCACGGGCTCCAAGCCTTGCTCAGCAGGCCGGCTCCATTGGGAGGCCCCAGTGGCGGCTGTTGGGGTGGCTGCCCCCCTTCTGGGGGGAACAGGCTCCACTGGCTGTCTGGGAGACGGGCCGCTGGCACACAGCTAGCACCAAAGGAGCCCAGTTTGTCAGGGAGGACAGAACTTTCTCCAGGAGCAAACATGCCCCAGGCCCCGCTCACACCAGTAGTCCTCTTTGGAGAAGCGCTCTGGCTGCCTGGGAGGGCACTGCCCCACAGGTGCTCCTTTGTCCCGTTCTGGAACGCCTCAGGGACAGGGGCCTTGCCCATGTTCCCAGGTACCCCAGGCAGGGGCTCAGCCTGGGGCAGGTGGTCACATGGCTCCTGCTTGATGACTTGACCAAAGCAGGGGCCACTCTGTGCAAAGGGGGAGGGGTCTGCGGCTGTGGGGCGAGTCCGGTGGCCCTTGGGGAGCAGGTACTCCTTGGGGCCTGGATAGGCAGGCTGGTGGTGAGGTGTATGGTGGCCGTCACCGCTGACAGCCCGGCCTGGCAGCTCAGTAAACTCGGGGCCACCATACGCCTGTGTCAGGCTGCTCTGCAGGGCCTGGAGCTCCGGCTTCTTATCGAAAACCCCAATGGGGCCTCCCCAGCTGCCCGGGCCTCGGCTGTTGGCACCATAGTTAAGGAACTGCGAGGGGAAGACAGAGCTGCTGGGGGAGAAGCCGTAATAGCCGAAGGATGGAATAGCAAACTTGGAGTGGAACCCATTGATAGGACTCAGGGTGGGCTGTGCATAGTAGGAATGACAAGAGTAGACGCTGTTCACGCTGTAGGGATCTGAGGGCCGGCAGCTGCCCAGCACCGAGTAGCTCTCCACCACCGCATTGCCGCTGTACTTGAAGGAGCTGTAGTGATTTGGGGGCTCCACCTTGATGGAGGGCTTCAGAGCTTGTTGGGAGAGCCCGTGCTTCAAAGAGAGACCTGGAAAGGAAGTGTGGTCAGTGAGGAGGAGAATCGGGGCTCCAGGAGGGCCCGAGGGCCCAGGAAGGCCAAAGTCAGGCTTGCCACCCATGAACCTGCCTCCTGACCGCAAGAGATCCTGCTCTCCCCCAAAGTCAGCCCTCAACTGAGTCCACTGAAGTGAGGAAGGAGAGTAAGCTTAATTCTCTGAGAAGATAAGGAGGAGCACAGACTCAGGACAGTTAGGCCCACTTCTGGGCTCCTCTGGGCTTGGCTCCAGAGGCACTGAGGTCCTGAGACCCACTGCCCTACCCAGTCCCACTCCCCTCCTGAGGCCTTGAGACCCACGGCCCTGCAGAGCCCCAACTCCCCTCCCGAGGCCTTGAGATCTGCTGCCCATCCTATACCACTGCCCCCAGAGGCACTGAGGTCCTGAGACCTGCTGCCCCCCCGCAGCCCCCTCTCTCCCTCCCCCCAGTGGCACTGGCTGTACCTCAGCTGCCAGAGCACACTGGCAGAGAGTGAAGCAGGGGCCAGGGCTCTGCGTGAACAGGGACAGGACTAAACATGTCACTGGTATTTTTCTTTCTTTAAAAAAGTATTTGTTGGGAGCTTTTGTTTAGGTATAGAGACTAGAGCTGTGATAGAATTGGCACAGAGAACTCCTGGGTGAGGAAATTTCCTCTCCTGATGCAGGTTACCTCCTTCTCTGCAGTTCCAGAGTCACACAGCTGGTCTGTGTCACAGGCAGGGTCTTGCACCCAGGTCTTCCCCACTCTAGACCCTTTATTTCCAAATCCACCTACCCACTCCTCCTCACTAACACCAGGCTGACATTGTCAGAAGGCTCCATCAAGAAGTCCCTGGTGACAGAGGGCCGAATTCCAGGCCACAGGGAAGCTGGACCTCCTGGCAGGGCCTCCCCACTCCCGCCCTGCACAGGCGCTCACCTGGATCAGTCTGGAGCAGCTCAGGGATGTCTAGCACCTCCTGCTTGATCTTCTCTGGAGTGAGCAGCTTCTCCTTCTGGAGCTTCTTCTTCTCAGCTGCTGCCTTCCGAGCTTCCAGCTGTCGCTGGCGGCAGGACTTGGCAGGCTCAGGGAGCCGGCGGACCTCGCGGGGGAAGGCGGTTAGCACCTGGATGGCCCCACTCGCCATCTTCGCCCTCTGGTTCTCTTCACTGCCAAACTCGTCTGTGTTAGCAATCTTGTAGAGGGGGAGGACGTGTAGCTGCTCGTCCTCTGGGATCTGACCCACACAGCGATTGTCCTCCTTGGTCAGTGTGCATACCTGCAGGGGCCAGGGCAGGAGGTCAGGACAAGGCAGTGCTGTCACTGAGAAAGGCCAGAGGGCCTTAGGACTTCTGCCACCACAGCCACACTCAGGCAATATCTTCTTGCCCCCCCCCCAAAGATATAGTCTGTGTTCAAAGGCTGGAGCGCTCAATACCTGGCTTCAAAATCCCACCCCTCACACTTCCTAGCTGTGTGACCTTGGGTAAGCCCCTTAACCTATCTCAGCCAAATTTCCTCATCTGCAAAATGAGGATAATAGCAGCACCTGCCTCATAGGGCTGTGAGGGGCCAATGAGGCAATACACATAAAGGGACTTTGCAAACTTTAATGATTCATAGGAATGTCAATTGTCATTGTCACCGTCATCATCCCTATCTCCTGTCATCATCGTTGTCATCATCATCATCATCATCATCATCATCCCTATCTCCTGTCGTCATCATCATCATCATCATCATCATCCCTATCTCCTGTCATCATCATCATCATCACCATCATCATCCCTATCTCCTGTCGTCATCATTGTCGTCGTCATCCTCATCATCCTCATCATCATCATCATCCCTATCTCCTGTCATCATCATCATCATCCCTATCTCCTGTCGTCATCATCATCATCATCATCATCATCATCCCTATCTCCTGTCATCATCGTGTCATCATCATTGTCATCATCATCATCATCATCATCCCTATCTCCTGTCATTGTCATCGTCATCGTCGTCATCCTCATCATCATCCCTATCTCCTGTCGTCATCATTGTCGTCATCATCATCATCATCATCATCATCATCATCATCCCTATCTCCTGTCATCATCGTGTCATCATCATTATCATCATCATCATCATCCCTATCTCCTGTCATTGTCGTCGTCATCGTCATCGTCATCATCATCATCCCCATCTCCTGTTCTCACAGTATCCCTAGTCGGAAAACTGTTGCCCCAGTAGGAAAGGCATCAAAACACTGGGCCGAGCTGGGAGCTGGCCATCAGGATCTAGGTCCTCTTGGTTTTTCTCTAGCTCTTTTTATCCCGCCGACCTGCCTGTACCCCCGACCCTGCCTGCATCTTGCCTTGATCTCCTGCACTCCCTTTTTCCTGGTTCCTAGGCTTCCTGTCCAATTTGGACCTTCCTCCTATAGCATGCATTCAATAACAAAATTCTTCCCCCAGTGAGCCTGGGGGATGACAGTTTTATCATGCACACTGACTCCTTCCCCAGATATCCCATTAGGCATAGAGGGCAGCTGGGCTTCCCAAAGCTTCTGATAGCTGCCAGCAAACTCTGCTACATCCTACCATGTTATAGAAAAGTTCTTTGAAAAGGAAAACCAATTATCTATACAGCTGTATACACATCAATACATATCGACATACATCCACACATGCCCATATGTCTATGTATAAACACACATAACCATATGTACTGATATATAAGCATTCATGTGTAGTGACACATATTGGTGCAATATAAATACACATATATGAGTACGATACACACATGCAGACGGATACACATATGAACGCATATGTGTGCATTCATGCCTATTCATGTGTATATTAAAAAATGTATGTATTTATCAAAACAGCAGGCTAGATGAATGGATGGATGGAAAGATAAGAGAGCACTTCAGACAATTATCAGTGGTATGACTTACCCTAGATAAGCCATATAACCTCTCACAACCTCAGTTTCCTCACTTGTAAAATTAGAGTAAAGATAACACCTCCCTCCCAGGGTGGTTGTTAAGATGAAGTGAGATAATGTTTACAAGGCACTCTGCAGATTTTCAAGTGCTATAGGAACTCTTAGATGCTATTATTAATTAGACAGACAGCCATATTTAACTGGCTCTGTCATTTCCTGAGGTTTCAGGAATTCCCAGAAAGGACCCTCCCCCCTTCCCCCCCGGGGCAGGTGAGAGTGGGCTCTGCGTTCTGCAGATGCAGCAGTGCCATGGCTTGCCCAGGGTCACACAGAGGACTTTAACCCAGATCTTCTTGACTACCAGGCCAGCTCCACATCCCTTAACTCTCATGACCTTTCAGAGAAACATGGATGCCCTCCACAATAATCATTCCAAAGTTGTATATAAAAAGACCAACCCCAGCTGTCCCAAAGGTCTTGGTGCAGTTTTCAGCTTTAATAAGCTTGATAAAGTGACCTTTGGGACAGCCTGGATTTCTAGGGAAAGTGTCTATTTATCTATTTATCTATCTGTTTATTTATTTATTATTTTTTGAGCAGCTCCAATTCAAACCAAGGCATTTCATTCATTCATTTCTTTAAGTCCTCAATGCCCCTCCTTTGCTATTCTTCTTTTCCTTCCCCCATTCATTCAGGTTTTAGAGAAGGTGGATAGAAAAGTGTGGCCTGCATATGGACCATTACAGGCATCAAGCACCTTCTTGATATTTTGTTCAAAAGCAGGATGCCTGTTTCCTCCCATTTGGGGATGGGGAGAAGCTTATGCACATGAGGAGGACCAGAAAGAGATAAGCCAGGTGGCCTCTGACAGCCCACCAAAGAGAGGGCTGGGCAGCTTGCACTGCAGAAGGGATGGACAAGGCCAGCCCTCACGGGAAGCGTAGGCAGAAGGGGGCAGGCCTTCTTACCACTGTGCAGCCGTTGTACAGGTTGTGCTGATCCTTGTGGGCGTGAGCACAGAAGTCCATGCAGGCTGTGACCCCTGAGAAAGGCCGGCCTGGCTTCAGTCCCAAGCGACAGTCTATTGCTTCTTCTTCATTGTTCACCTGGGAAAAGAGCCCAAGATTACCTCAAATGACCCGCTAACATGGAACCCAGGGACAGGCACTGGAGAGGAGGTGGAAGGAGAAACCTCTGGACTTAAGAGAAGCTTTGGGGAGACTGAAAAGGATCTTAAAAGTCTCACAAATCCCAAGTTAACTTCAAACTAATGTTAAAACTCCTGTTTGCCACTAGGTGGCAGAGTGGATTAACAGAACAAAGAATTTGGAGTCAGGAAGATTGGAGTTCACATTTTGCACCAGACCCCTTACTAACTATGTGACCTTGGACAGGTCACTTGACCTCTCTCAACCTTAGTTTTCTCATCTGTAAAAATCCCTTCCATTACTCTGTGGTCAGACTTTACTGTATGTGAGTGAGATCACATATGGAGTAACAGAACCACCCAGCTGGTGCTTGTCCAAAGGAGGGCGTCTAAATAAGATAAGGCAACGGAGGGCGTGTCCTAGGGATTGCTTGAAGGTACTTGAGATCTTTAGCCTGGAATAGAGCAGGCTGAGAGTGGGGAAAAAGGAGACAGCTGAGCCATCTTCAAATCTCTGAAGGATCATAGAATTCATAGCTGGAAGAGAATTCTGAGATCTCTAGCTCTCTCATTTTACAGATGAAAAACTACAGCCAAAGAGGGGGTGTGATTTTCTCAAAGTCCTCTAAGTGGACAGTGGCTGGGCCGGAATCTGAACTTAGGTCTTCTGCCATTGAGCTCAGGTCTTATTCTGTAAGCACAGCCAGGTATAAGTAAGAGCCAGGTCGTTAAAGTCAGGAGCAGACATGAAAGGAGAACGTGGAAGCAGGCAGGGGGTGGGGTGGGGTGGGGTGGGGGCGTAGGTGAAGGGGAGATAGCTTAGGCTTGAAGAATGAGAAAACAGCCTAACAAGGAGAGCTGCCCCAAGTAGCCTGTCCCTCTCTCTAGGACGGGGCTGGATGCATTCTTTTTCAGGGGAGGGTTGGTCTCTGGGGTCTCCTTAGCATACCAAAGTATAGACACCTGGGTAAAAGGATGAAAAGACCCTTGAATACTGGCAATAGACAAAAGGGAGGCAACTTGGTCCAGTGGAAAGGATGTGGGAACCAGGGTCATAGGGCTCAGGACCAAGTCTCAGCCCTGTCACCACCATCCCCCCGTGAAATTCTACCATCTCATTTGGAAAACAAAGAGGTTGGACTCAATAACTCAGAGTCCTTTCAGCCCTAAATCTATAATCCCCTGTTCTTCTAATTAATTGCTATCTCCTAACTGGTTCAGAGGTGCTTTAGCCAAGAGAAATTAAGAGATCGGTCCAAAGAGGCCCAGGGAGATAGATGAGGCAGATGCTGAGGCTGGACCTGGGTCATTCAACACCATCTAGGCTGTTGTCAATGCCCTCTGAGATGCTGAGAGGAGGAGCAGCTGGGCTGTTACCTGATTTTGATAGGCCTGGGGTGCAAGCTTCTTGTACAGGGGGGCGACTTGAGTGGCCAGGTTCTGAAAGTGTTTCCGAAGGTTTTCCTCCTGTGAAGGGAAGAATGAAGAGATTGTGCCCAGGCGGGAAGGAGCCATTAGGGAAACAATGCTGAGGGCGCTACCCTGGGGTTGTGTGGGCCTTGATCTTTGATGACATCACTAAGGATTGCTTAGAACTGGAAAGTAGGGTAGGCAGACCACCTAGAGAGGAGAGGAGGGGATAACAACAGATGGGCTACCAGTTTAGCCATCTACCATGTAGTCTCAAGCATGTTGGCCTGATGCTTTGTGGGTATAGCAGAGATGCCACCTACATTGAGGAAGGGGTGGGATCTATCATAATGAACTCATGGATCCACTGAATCCAGGGTCTTCAAATTATTCTATAGAGGATGGGAAGAAGGAAGGGTAGGATTTTAAGATTCCCATTTCACAGATGGGGAAACTAAGCACAAAGAGGTAAGCAATTGGTCAAATTTCTCACAGCTCTAGAAAAGAGCTATTTTCATTCCCAAGCCCCCTCTTATGAGATCACAGGATTACACCTCATTCTTCAAGACTCCTCTCAGTTGAACTTAGAACATACAACATATCCTGTATCTTCCAGGCTCTATATGGCCACAGCTCTGTGAGCTGTAGCAGCTGGGGCCAAGGGAAAGGTGGGCAGAGAACACCCCCAATATGATAAACATACATCTTAGTACAGTTGTGTCCTTCAACTCAAAGGCTGCACAAAGACTTTTGGGACCCCCAGTAATGGTGGTGGGTGGTGTAGCAGATAGAACCTTAGACTTGGGATCCAGAAGACCCCAGTGTGAATGCTGCCTCTGACATGTACTTGTGGGACCATGATTGAATCCCAATCTACTTGATGCTTCAGTTTCCTAATGTGAAAAATGGGGATAATTCTTGAACCTGGCTCATGAAGTTGTGAGGCTCAGCTGAGATTTAAAGCCCTTTGCACTCTCTGAACATTCAATGTGATGATTATCCCCATGTCACAGACAGTGAAACGGAGGATCATGGTTCAGGGAACTGGGCCAGCCAGTCTGGCACAGAGGTGTTCACGGAATCCAGCGGTGCTAACTTCCATCCTAAGTAGGTGGGCCAGGTTACCCCACACACATTTACCGGGTACAAAGCAGCAGGGACCAACATTCGCTTTATCCCTAGAGCCCTTCTACCCCCAGGATGGGGAGTAAGTTCATGAGCACTAGATAACTGGAGGCCCAAGGCATCATCAAAGGGTGATGTGGAGAAGAGCATGGAAGAAAGGGAATGGCAGGGACAGAGAGGATGGGTGGCAGAAAGGAGCACCAGCAATGGTCACAGGGGTGGGGAAAGGGAAGCCCAAAGCTGCCCATTCCTGGCACAGTGAGTGGTATGAGGAGAGCCGAGGACCTCTGCAGGGTCATCCAGCTCAAGCCAGCAGTGGCTGGAGTCACTGCCATAATAGGCTAGCTCACATCAGTGGTCCATGCCCAGATGGGCCTAGCACTGTGCAAGTGAGGGACAAACGGGGAGTTGCCCACCTCTTCAGGATTGTCCCCTGTGAGGCGGAACTTTCGAGGATACTTGCTCCGGGCGTACTTGCAGCCATTGAAATACATACTCCAAGAGCACCCGAAGGAGAAGGAGGCACCACAGGTGGACGGGTCTTTCCCCTGGCATGCACAGGTTCGGCTGCAACATAAGCCACACGCGTTATAGCTCTGGAAGCCGCCACCCTGAAAGTCCGGTCTCCCCCGCCCATGTTTCCACGCGACTCAGGGCTCCGGCCAAGCCCAGCTCAGGCACCACCTTCTACTTATGCCTTGCCTTGTATCCTAAGGGGCATGTTAGGCAATGCTCCTGGCCCCTTAGATTACTTTGTATTTAGCCTGCATCAATTCATCTACCTACATGCTATTCCCTGCCCCCTCCACCATTAGAACACAACCCCCCTGAGGGCAGCAGCTGGCAACATAGCCCATGCTGGTGAATGCTTGTTGAATTGACTTTGTGGGAGGCTAGTTCTGCACCTCCAATATTTACAATCCTGTGCAGGCTCCAGGGTATGCCCTACCCATATCCCCTGAGGCTGCTTTCCTAGATCCCTCTGTATTCTCCCTAGACTCTGCATGGGGCACAGCTGGACCTCAGTGGCCGCTGATTCTGCCCCCACCACCAATCATCTTACTGAAGAGGAAACTGACACCCAGAGAGGTTCCAGGTTAGACCCTTACAATGGCTCTAGGGAAAAGCATTATCCTCAGCATTTTTCAGCTGGAGAACCTAGTTGTTAGGGGACTTTCCCAGGGCTACATGGCTAGCAAGGGGCAGACCTCAAAGGAACCACATGATGCCTTTTCAAGGATCTTTGCCACAGCAGCCCAGATTTGTGCCCCTGGACTGGGACTTAATCAGAAGGCAGAGGAGAAGTCATGGTTCCAAGCCTGGGTCTGCCCTAGCAGCTCCTGCCAGCTTATCTCGGGGCTGCCCTACCATTGGGCAGAGATTCGTCTGCTCTCCCTCCCCCTCCCCGTCCCCACTCACTCCCCAATGGGTCTGTGCAGACTCACTCATCATTGAGGCCACATCTCCGGGTGGTGGGATTCCCATAGCAGCGAAGGGTTTCCGTCAGCTCCCGGTACAGGGTGTCCCCCAGTTCTGGGCCGATGCCCTCCCAGACCATGATGAGAATGATGATGACGGCTTGTTCACAGCGGTGCCCCGAGCGATGGCGGACCAAACAAAGCAGCTTCTCTTCCTCAGTGTATCTCCGGTACACCTGCAGTGCGGACACGGGAGCGGACTGTTGGCGAGCCGCCACCTAGCTCCTGCTTCCTCCCGTTCAGGGGGGCGTTAAAGGTCCTGACACCTCGCCCGGGGGGGCCAGAGACACAGCAGCACGGGATTCAAAGTGGGAAGTGGCCTCCAAATGAGGGACTGAGGCCCGGGGAAGGGCACACACTGGCTCAAGGTCATGTGCTCTCATTAATCTTACAGCCAGAAGAGCCCTTCGACAATGTTCATCAGAGAGCCACAGATGCTGAGACGGAGGGATGCCGGGACACAGTGGAAAGGGCACTGGCCCTTGAGGCAGAGGGCATAGCCTCAGATCTCACCTCGCATGATCAGTGGCTCTGGGACCCTGGGCTGATTTGCCCAGGCCTCAGGTTGCTCATCTATAAAATGGTGGACTTCTGGGGTACTGTCCCCAAGAGCACTAAGGGTTAAGCCATGACCTCCTTGGGCTCTGATTTACTCAAATGGACATTAATAAGGGAACTGAACAAGATGGTCCCTGAGATTCTAACCAGGTCTAGACCTTTGATCCTCACCTCCTCTGAGGCCATCGGGTCCAGCCCACACCTCCAGGTCCAGCCAATACCTTCAGGTCCAGCCCACATCTCCAGGTCCAGCCCACACCTCCAGGTCCAGCCCACACCTCCAGGTCCAGCCCACACCTCCAGGTCCAGCCCACACCTCCATAAAGACCTGCTCCCACACCAGCCCTGACAAGAGGCTATCCCAACCTCTCTAGGAATAAGCTCAGTGCCCTCTGGAAGAGCCATTCCACGTGGACAACTTCAACTGTTATGACTTGCCTAAAGTCACACGAGTAATAAAGTCACAATTGAGTTTTAAAACCCAGCTCCTCTGGCTTTTTTTTCTGAATCAGGTTGGCTTACCAAGGTTTGACTCAGAGGCCACAAGATTTGGGACCAGTCAGTTATACACTGTGTCTTGATTGATACATCAGTGAAATGGGGACAAGAGGGAGGAAGGTGTAGGAGGTGAGGGACCCGAACCTGTAGATGAGGTACCATTATTCCCCTCATTTAGGTCACAGTATTATAGATTCAGAACTGGAAGGGACCCTCAAGATCAATTACTCCATTTTACAAATGAGGAAACCAAGTCCCAGAGAGGCTACGTGCCTTGCCCAAGGCCACAATATTCTGACATCAAATCTAGTACTTCTTTTGTTTTAGGAGTCTGCTGAAACTGTAAAAGAACCGGAAGACCAGGAGATGCAAGAGTTTCTTTTCCACATGGTACAGCCTTCACAGTTTAGGGTCAGTAGCTGTCCTTGATCACAGCCCTCATTTGTGTGGGACCTGGGCCTTGTCCCCAGGGCAAGATGCTGTGAACAGCCTCTTCTTCTTCCCTTGAGCCAGTAGGAAGGGTCTAGGGGCATACCAAAGAACTGTCTTTCAGACTCAGTGCTCCCCACCGCTACTTGAAAATGCATGTGTACAGAAACAAGTCAATGCTCCCAGGAACCGGGGCACAGGTGTCTGTCAACATGGGTCCAGAAACACATGTTAGAAAGCAGAGAAGAGCCTAACGGGAGCAGGTATAGACAGATTCTGTGAGGGCCTGCCTCTCTGTGGTGCCTACCATGGCCAAAGGTGTATATAGCAAGTGTACCAAAAATACACCAAGACCCCCTGAGCCACAGTGTGAGTTCATTTGTTCCTTTTTCCTTTCTTCCCCCTTCCTTCCTCCCTTCTTTCTCTTCCTTCCTCCCTCCCTTCCTTCATTCCCTCCCTGAGAGAAGGGCCAAGCCCCAAGACACAGAACACCACAGATTCTTTCTATCACACAATCTCAGAGATGGAAGGGGCCTCAGAAACCGTCTAGACTAGCGCTTCTTAAACTGTGGGTCACGACCCCAAAGGTTGGCAACACCAAGAGGTTTCTGAAGGTGCAACGACCAAAAATTAATGGAAAAATTAATGACTCCAAGGTGTTTCTGGCAGCACTTGCCTGCCCGTGTCATACCTCCAGCCTTGGTTCTAAATACAAAATACACACTCTTGGCACTGCACACGCCCTCAGGCCATGCAGCGTCAACAAACACGAGTGGAAAAAACTTAAGAAGCCCTGATCTGGACCAGTCTGGATGTGGGCAGGAATCCCCTCCATGACATTGCAAACAAGGAGTGGTCCCATCTCAGAATGAATACCTCCAGGGACAAAAAACCCACTGCCTTTGGACAGCTGCAATCTGCGAGCCTTTCCTTCCATAAGCCAACCTGCATGTCTCTGCTGAGTCCCCCAAGACTGCTCTGCCTCACCCCATATCAAATATCAGAGCACAGCTGGCGTGATTAGCTGGCTTTTCTCTCTGCAGTTGATCCTAATGAGACACACAGCGTGAAGATACTTCACCAGATGGGACATATTCCTCTGGATGTGCTTGGCCTAGCAATGGCCTTCCTAGAGGTAGCCAGAGCTCTGATCTAGAGAGGGCAAAACTTTGGTTTTGTGTGAATCATGCAGTACCTCACTCTTAGGGCATCTCACTGTCTACCAAATGAAATTCCCAAGCCATGTCCTGCCAGCTGAGATCCTCCCCAGTGACGCCCACTGTCCTTCCTCTGCAATCTTACTTCCTCCTGCTCCAGGGGGGTCTGCAGAAACTCAACTTCCCAGGAAGACTGTACTAGTATCTATTTCCCCATTGGTTCTTGTCCTCCCCTGCTGTCTCCAGGCATTTAGGCAGCTCCTCCTCTGGCCCTGAAACAGACCTAATGGGCCTCCCTCTTCCTATTTAATTTTTTTTTTTTTGGCAAAAGCAAGGGCTGCTTCTGTTTTTACATTACAGTATTTCCAGTGATAAATCCCCATTCACCCAAACCTCACCGCACTCTCTGCCTCCACCACCCAGGAAGCCTTCCCTTGTAACAAAGAAAAACTTTCAAACAAAAGCAACTGACACAGTAGCGACATAGGAACCTGTCTGTGATACTTTGTACCTACAGTCACTCCTGATCCCTCTCAGACCCACCATGAATTCAGTTAACACAATGACACCATTTGTGGCTCAATTTTCATCTTCTCTTCATCCACATATATTACTGTAGTCACTATGGTAGATTTTGACAATGCAATGATCCTATACGTATTGACACCTGTGATGCTATCCGCTCCTGTCTTCCCTAGCATACTGCAAGCTCTCTCAGCCCCTCTCCAATCTCTGCTCCCACCTGGTTACTGCTTCCATCTCTGCTCCCTTTGAACAGGTCCCAACTCCCCCCACTCCCTCACCCTCTCACCCTCTCATCCTCGATAGCTCTCCTTCCTTTCTCAGCCAAATTCCTCCAAAAGGCTTCAACTATTTTTCCTGTCATTTACTTGTGTGTCTGTCACTGGACTGAAGTTGCTCTCATAAAGTTAGCAGTGATTGTGTTCATCACTAAATCTGATGGTCTGTTCTCAGCCCTCATCTCTCCTGGCTGCAGCCTTTTATCATGCTAACCATCCTCCCGGTCTCTGAGCTTCCCCAAAATGGGTCTCTCTTGATGCTCTGACCACCACCACCCTGCCACCAATAGAAATACTTCTCTAGAGGCAGCTGATGGTGCAGTAGTTAGAGACGAAGACCTGACTTCAAATCTGGCCTTAGATACTTACTGTGTGACTCTGGGCAAGTCCCATAACCTGTTTTGCCTCAGTTTCCTCAACTGTAAAATAGATATTATAATAATAGCATCTCCCTTCCAGAGTTGTTATCAGGATCAAATGAAATAGCACTTGTAAAAATCACTTGTAAAAATCACTTAGCACAGTGCCTGGCACATAGTAGGTGCTCTAGAAATGCTTATTCCTCAAGGACAGGGACCATCTCCAGGAAGCTTTCCAACTCAAAGTCATCCTTCCATCTTTCTTTTGGGCACATTTATCATAGGATGATACCTGTAGAGGCGCAAGGGACTTTAGAGGCCACTGAGTCCAATCACCTGATTTAACACATGAGGAAACTAAGACCTAGTGCTGTTAAGTGATCTACCCAGGGTCACACAGATAATGTCTAAGGTGGAATTTGAACAGAGGTCTTCCTAAGTCTAAGGCCAGTTTTCTAACTTGTTTTCTGCATATTTGCTCAGTAATCTCATTCACCCATAGCTTGCTGCAAGCTGTTAGAGAGGCTGAGGAATATTTTGTAGTTCCCTGTCCTGATAGCCCCTCCCCTGGGCATCTCTCCTAGTTAGTCTGGCACCTTCTCCCAGGTCACTTCTCCTTCACTGTGTCATGGATAGTACTTTGACTCTTCTTCTATAACCCCACCATACCGAGTACAAAGCTGGGCCTTTGGGGGATGGCAAAGGGGGACTGCGTATGACTTGATGTAGGGGATTCTTCAGTCAGACCTCTTTTCACCAAAGGCAAACTATCTCCAATTGTTAGTCTTCAAATTGCCTACCTATACTTGATAATCGATAAATAATAATCAACAGATCCATCTGTCTCCAGTATCTGCTAAGAACAGCTCTTTATTCAAGCAGCCATCTAATGAGTCAGTCAACAAACCCGGGCTAGAGCCGAGAAATGAGAGCATCCCTACGCCTTGTCCGCATGGAAACAAGAGGACGAATGAGAAACCTGAGCCTGGGGCCATCCCAGGACACAAGCTGCATTTGCAAGGGTGAGCCAAGGCCAAGCAGGCTGAGCTGCAGGCTGGCCCAGCCCAGCTGGTGCAGCAGAAACACTTACCCACTTGGCGATAGGACAGCCCCGGGAGCTCTTCCCTTCCTTGCCGGTGTAAACAACCTTCTCGATTCGGATTGCTTTCCCCTTCTCTCCATAGCTAGGGACAGAAAGACACTCTATTAGTCCACTGCCAGGGGATGGATTGTGGGGGGCGGGTGGAAGGAAGGATTGAAGCTACAACACAGTGGTCTGGGAGCACGGCCCCATTCCCATAGGGGCACAAAGGTAGGGCTTGTTATCCAATCTTAAGAAAGAAATGTAGTTATACAGTAGCTGTATGTAGCCATGTTTGTGACACTTGTCCCTACAGTCCCCTTCTCATTGCCCTACCCACCCAAGGAAAGGGAAGGGGTATCATCCTCCCTATGAATGTTTTCTAGGTAACTCTTAGAAGGATCAAAAGAAAAACCAGTCACCCCTGGAATTCTCTCTCTAGTTGGACTATAGGTCACTCCTGATTCCAGATGATACCTCCAAATAAAAGGGGGGGAAAGGCATACAGATAGATATGAAAAATAATACCAATTATAAGTGGAAACAAGGTCTTTTTGAAAGGAAAAAAAAGGAGATAGCTATAAACAGATCCTAAATACCCAGCAGAGGCTAAAGTTGGGGCCTTGCATGGAGGAAAGGGTCAGGGACTGGACCTATGATTTTATCAATCTAAGGAGTTAATGAGAACCTTTCCTCTCCTCATTAATGAGCACCTTCTTGGGTATTTATCATCTCACAGAAACTGCCCAGGGCACTGAAAATTAAATGAGTGAGTCTGAGAGGCATGAATCCAGGTCTTTCTGGCTTTGAGGCCAGCCCTCAATCCATTAGGTCCTGCTGCCTCTCACGCATACAGGTGATGCTTAATAAATGCTTACTGAATTCAAGAGGCATCCAGGGATGGTTTTCCATCCAGAGGCTCTCTGCTTAGTTTTGGTTACTGCAATCCTTTCAGCCATGTTCTCTACCCAAATGGGGAAAGAAAAGCACTACAGTTCAGCTCATTATTAGCCCCAGTAATAACAGAAATAATGATAATGAGAAGACTCGCTCCCATTTCTATGTCATTTTAAGGGCCACCAAACCCCTTACATAGATTCTCTTTTAATTTTCACAGTAACCCATTAAAGTAGATAGTATTATTATTCCCATTTAATGCATGCAAGAACTGAGGCTGAGCTAGGTTAAGTGACTTGCCCAAAGTCACACAGCCAGCAAATGTCTGAGGTAGGATTTGAACTCAGGTGTTGACTCTCCATTTAGCTCTCTTTCCACTGCAACATCTAGCTGTCTCATAATAATTAGAGTACACCTTTATAGAGAGCTTTAAGGTATACTATCTTACTCAATTCTCACAACAAACCAGCTCCATGGCATAATCCTGCCTCACACACACACAACAACTCTGGGACAATTCATTCAATCTCTACCTCAGTTTCCTCATATGTAAAATAAGGGGGTTGAACTCAATGACCTCTAAGGTTCCTTGGCTCTACAGATGAGGAAACTGAGGGTCAGATTAACCTCCTTGCCTACATTCCTACAGCTGCTAAATACAGGAGGGAAGAGGGGAACCCAGGTCTTCCTAATTCCAAGCACAGCTGCCTCTACACTGATACCAAACATAGCACCTCAGAGGTCAAAGGCCCTTCCCAAGATGACCTGAACCTCAAGCAAAACTCTCATTTAAAGCATTAATGCATTGATTAGAGAAATGCAAATTAAAGCAACTTTGAGGCACCACCTCATACCTATCAGATTGGCTAACATGACAGCAAAGGAAAATGACAAATACTGAAGAGGATGTGGAAAAATAGCAACGCCAATGCATCACTGGTGGAGTTGTGAACTGCCCCAACCATTTTGTGAGCCATTTGGAACTATGCCCAAAGGGCAATCAAACCATGCACACCCTTTGACCCAACGATACCACTACTAGGCCTGCATCCCAAACAGGCCAAGGAAAAAGGAAAAGGACTTATTCACACAAAAACGATTCATAGCAGCTCTTTTTTGTGGTGGCCAAGAATCGGCAAAAGAGGGGATGCTCATCAAGTGGTGAACGGCCGAACGAGTTGTGGGACATGATTATGATGGAACACTATTGTGCTACAAGAACTAAAGAGGGGAATGGTTTCAGAAAAACCTGGGAAGACTCATGTGGATGCATGCAAAATGAAGTGAGCAGAGCCAGGAGGACAAAGGACAGCAATCTTGTAAGGATGATCACCTCTACAAGATTTAGCTCCTTTGCTCAAGACATTTCCAAAGGACCCATGCTGGAAAATGCTATCTATCTCCAGAGAGAGAACTAATGAATGCTGAGTGCAGACTGAAGCATATTTTTAAAACTTTTTTTAAATTGTGTGTGTGTGTGTGTGTGTGTGTGTGTGTGTGTGTTTTCTTTTGCAACATGGCTTAATATGGAAATGTTTTGCATGACTTCACATGTATGATTGTTATAATGCTTGCCTTCTCAAGGAGTGTAGGAGGGGCAGGAGGGAAAGAATTTGGATTTCAAAATTTTTAAAAATGAATGTTAAATGACCAACGTGGAAATATGTTTACCATGATTGTACATATATAACCTATATCAGATTGCTTTCTGTCTTAGAGAAGGAAGAAAATTTTGGATCTTAAAATCTTATAGAAATAAGTGTTGATAAAATGCTGTTAAGGAAAAATTTTTTTAAAGAATTTTTTTTAACATGGAACTGGGAAACATTTAATGAAATGAATACAAATACATTTAAAAATAAAGTATTAGTGCCTCTCTGTCCTTTGGCAGGCCTCCAGTGTCACTACCTTTCAAAGGACACCCATTCCTACTTTTAGATAGCTCAAGTGGTAAAGAAGCCCTTCTTTAGCTGAAATCTACAGCTTTGGCCAGCTCCCAGTTTGGTCCAAGCCTGACAAGTCTTCTGGAGCCATCCCAGACATAGGGTGTAATGGGGTTAGGGTTAGGCTTCAACCCACTTAGTGAGAGCATCCCCAAATCACACAGGAAGCGGAAAAGCAAATAGTTGGAAAATGGAACAGGTCGTGCATAATTTTGGTAGCAATCCCATGTCATTATTGATGACAGCAAACAAACTCCCTTTAAACTTTAGCTTCCTAGTACCCAATACTCCTGAAAAAAAAAAAAACAACAATCACAAAAAGCATCATTATCCAAACATGACCCAGAGGAAAGTGACCCAGACAAGTACTTTCTCGTCTTTGCAAAAAAACCCAGAGATCCACACCTACAGCAAGGGTGGCTTTGAAGCCAGCCACATCCGAATGAGGTCTCTGAGCAGTTTAGGGAATACAAGGATCCCACCATGACTACCAGAGATCACTCGACTTGGGAGAACAAAACATATCCATAAAAGCTCTGACCTCCAAGAAGGTGCCTCCCACATGGACAGTGAAGAATGACTGACATTTCTCTAATGCTTTACATGCATGAGCTCATTTGGGCCTCACAATCACTTTACAAGCTAGATGCAATAGGAAGTCTGATCCCCAATTCACAGATGATAAAACTGATCCCATGGAAGCAAAGTGCCTTACTTGTCCATGTTCACTCAGCTAGTTAGAGTTACAGCCGGGACTTAGACCCAGGTCTTCCTGATTCTATGTCCAGGACTCTATCCACTACCTTACACTACTACACAAGAATCTTGGTAGATATGACCAGAGGTAACTCTGTTCAGGAACTATATCACCAAGAGAAGCAGGAAAAAGGGACAGATGCTCGGTAAAAGTATTTGCAACCATCATGGGGGATATCCAAATGGAAAAGGATTCCCAAGAACAGCACTTCTGAACTGTATGTCACAACCCCATATGGGGTCGGAAGAAATTTGGCAACAGCAAAAGGTTTCTGAACGCACAACTGAAAATTAATTCAAAATCAAACACATAACGAATCCAACGTGTTTCTGGCAGCACTTGCATGAGCTGCATCGCACACCTTTACTGCAGCCTTGCTTCTAAACACAAATCATGTGCACCATGCACCACATGGGCCCTCATGCCATGCCACGCCAACCAACACTGCTGAATCTTGAAAAGGGTTGTGAGTGGAAGAAGTTTAAGAAGCCCTGCCCTGGAAGACTGAGGTCCTCCCGATGCTCTTGATGCTAATGGCACTGTGCCAATGGGCTCCAGCCCCAGAATGCCACAGGGCCTCCTCAGTGAAGGCTGTGGGAACTCAAGGGACTGGCCTACCAATCTACATGGGAAGGCGCCCAGACAACAAGAGCTATCCAACAGTGGAATGGTTTGTCTCCAAGGGGGTGTTCTTCCCCTCAACACAGGTTAGTGGCTCATAGAAACTGAAGGGACCTTAGTGGCCCCGAATTTTAGAGAAGAGGAAAGTGAGGCCCAGAGGGGTTCAATTAAGAGCGCTGGGTCACACAGCTAGGAAGTGCCTGAGGTGGGAATGGAACCCACGACTTTTGGGCTCCAGTTCCAGCACTCTATCCACTGTGTCACCAGATCAGAGACTTGGAGTTGTATAGGGAATCCTTATTCAGGGATGGTTTGGACAAATGGTCTCTGAGGTCCCTTGTAACTGGGATATTTTGGGACCTGATGGAGTGCCCCCAGCTGTACATGTGTGTCCTGGACTGATGCAGCAGAAGCAAAATGAGTTAAACAGTAGGACGGATGGGAACAGATTGTATTTGTGCAATTACAATGTGCTTCCAACTGCTCTGACCTCAAACCCAGCTTTAACATGAATATTCTTTCAATCAGAAGCAAAACAGTTCAGTGACTAGAAGGCTGGCCTCAGGGTGAGATCTAGGTTCAGGCCCTCCCTCTGGCACCTAGTAGCTGTGGGACTCTGGTAGAGTCACTTAGACTAAGTCTCAAGTGTCACATCTTTAAATGAAGCTAGGCAGTGAGGCTAAGTAGATGAAGATGTAGTCTTGAAGCCAGGAAAAGTTGGGTATGTCCCTTACCCAGTCAGAGGCCTGAGCGACTCACTGAGACTCTCAGATCCTGCATTGGTAGGAGGTTTTCTTCCCAGGTGCTTGCTATACCCCTATACTAATGAAATCAAAAGGGGAGTGGGGGAGGTGAGACAGAAGGAGAGTGAGAGAGGAAGAGAGA